ACTCGTAAGTGGAGTGAATTGCCAAGGAAAACACAAAGACACCACAAACAGCCCAACCAGAGAGGGGTCACGAAGGGGGAAAAAGAGAGGAAAAAGAGACACCACAAGCACCCCGCTCAAGACACCTCGTCATTTGCGAAGCGAAGTAACACAAGACAGAAAGGACCGTCGGAAATGGGAAATGAGTTCCTCAGAAGTGGAGGTCAAGCGAAGACTCACCAAAGTAGCTCGTGCATCATCCAGATATTGTCGCGCCGTACGTTGATCTTTCCAACGGCCTTGAACCATAACGAAATCAAGAGCTTTTTGTGTACCATAGAAATGAGTAGCCCCGCCACGACGGAGACTGTAAAGAACCAGGTGCAGCGATTCCAGGTCAAAGAACGTGCACAGCCCCGAAAAGCAAGTACGAAAATAACTGAGTGAATAAGGCCAAATCTTCCCTTTGTGGCTGAGGTTCGAAGCGAGATAGGAAACAATAACAAAGAAGTGAGGGTCAGAATGTGCAACGAATTGTTGAAATTGCTTTGACGCCTTAGTGTACCTAAGGTTCAGAACCACCGAGTGGGATGAATGATCCAACGACAAATGTTCAAATGCGAGGCCCAAGGCCTCTCCGGTGCGAAGAAAGAAGACAAAATTCAAGAGAATTGTCAGAGCCAGTGAGTACCACCGTTGTTCAATGCAAAGGCCCAGGAACCCTTGGACTATGTTCCACGTGATTGGAGTGGCACGCTGCGGTACATGTGACCGGGTCCAGTTCGTATACCATTGTTGGGATGTCTGCAATTCCTTTCGGCACCGGGGAAACAGGCGTTTCATGCCACTCAAAACCCATCCAGCCCTTGAAATGGGTTCACCTTCTTGAAAAAGGGTGTTGATGTAGTCTGCCAAAAGGAGATCCAATTCATGATAAGTGGAAGGATACGAAATAGAACATGCATCAAGGTAGTTCAGGAATTGTGAAACTTCCCTCTTATAGATCCTCAATGTCCCTGTTGCTATGCCCATGTCGCGCAAGTGTTTTTGCACCTCAGCCATGGCGACGTTCGTCAAAACGCCGACTAGGGGCGTCGGCGAAGTTCCATTTCGAAATCGTCCACAGGTGTATGGGCATAGCCTGGCTCATGAGGATCACAGCATTGATTCTTCGTAGGAGTCGGTTCAAGCGAGGGGACTTGCTCCGACCCTTTGACATCGTGAAGAAGCCGACTTGGCTGTCGGTCACATTGAAGAATCTCGTGCCCAGCTGGGCGATCTCCCGCATCCTGCGGCGAAACTCCACCAAAAAGGCAGAGACCTCAAGCACGTTGATGCGCTGCGTGTGCTTCCAGGGGTACGAAAGCTTCGTCTTCCACTGCCACTTGAATGCAGGGTAGGGCGCCATCAACTGGAGTGATCCATCTTCTGCGGTTGCTTCAAACCGGACCTCAGTCCCTCTGATGCAAATTTCTCTAAGCAACCCGCGCAGATGGCGACGCTCATGGCCTGGGCGCATTGTCCTCAGGACCCGCAGCACCTCATCTGCTGCTCCACTGGCCACATCTGTTCTCTGCATCCCACGGGTCGATCGCTTCAGGGCCGCCAAAATGGCAGCTTTGGGATCCCATGGCACCAACCCAAACGGGACACTGGTGCGCTTTTGGAGGGCCTTTTTCAGCCCGGCAGCATAGGCCCGGCAGAGTTCCCAGGTGTATTCGGCTTCATGCTCCGTATCAAATTGCAGGGCACCGTCCACCTCATGGACTTCATACGGTAAGAGTCCTTCATGTCCTGGGCATGTCGGCCGGTGTAAAGCTGTGTGGAGCTCCTCGATGTTGTGAAGCAAGCTTGTCCATTTTGTTCGAGCCCCGCCGAAGCAGCAAGCGGTGAAATAAGTGTGGTAGACATCACCCCTTGAGGCCAATTCCGATGCTTCTGGTGTTGACCAAAGGTGAGAACTGTATGGATGCTGAAGGACTGCCAGGCGATCATTGTCAAATGCCATCTTCAACCCTCTCAACGACCTCTTGGCCATCGCATTTCCACGTCTTACCTGCACTTGCTCTTGAGGACTCAAATGGTCCAGTCCCCAAGGCTTCAACGCACTCCTCAGTGCCCTCGGACCCGAATGCCAACGACCCGCTGTGGTCCGGAAAGGCTTTCCTCGCGCTGCTGAGAAGGTTTTGCATTCAGGTCCGTAGTGCTCGCACATCAGCGCTGGCTCCACCTCATACGAATCCAGTCTCTGCTTACCCTCGGTGGTGGAGTAATCCCATGGGTCATCCGGGACGAGCAGATCAAGAGGAGGTTGCACTCCAACGTGAGAGGGTAATTTGGTCCGCTGAACCTCTCTCCAAACAGCGGGCAGGCGAACATATCCCGGGCGCACCCGTGTTCTCGATGCTCAATGGCGCATCGGACTGAGCACACGACAGCTCCACATCCCACTGGGCAAGGGTATTTCGATCTGCCTACAGTCCTTGTCGGGATTGGGGTGCTGAAATCATGCCCGCAGTTATTGCACTTTCCTTCAAAGCTCACCATGGGCCCATGTGGATCAGGTCCTTGCTTGAATGCCGTAGCGGTAGCACTTCCGCCCCCGGTGGGAGAGGCATCGGTGCAGCTGATTTCAGGCGAAATCTTGGCCTTCAAGTTGACCTGTGCCAAGGGTGATTGCAGCAGCATGCACATGATCTCGTCAATCACCTCTGCGGTCGGGTTGACCGGTCCCTTTCGTGCCCTTTCAATGGAATCGAAGACATTGGCGATTCCAGAGAACATCGATCTCTTGAATGTGGCCAGAAATGCGGTCTTGCCTGTCCAATGCCGTAGATAAAATTCAGACCACCGATGGCGGGAGAGTAACGCAAGACTCAATTCGATGTAGCACCTCAGCTTGTCTCCCGCCAGCTTTAACACCCCTCGGTGTCCATCGAGTTCACCCCCTTGGAGGCCTCCAGCAAACGCATGGATCAGCTGTTTTCCCAGATTCCGGGGCAGTCCCGCTTCATCACATGCTGCAATGAACTGCTTATGGTGTGGCGAGATTTCTTCTCCTTCCTGCTGAAGGTCAATGTCCAAAGACTTCACCACATGAATCTCATCAAAGTTGTCAAGGTAGACAATCGTGTAGATCTCGGTGGTCGCCGTATCATTAAAAAACTCGATCGAGTACTGACGAGGGGTTTTTGCTCTCTCAAAGACCAGTGTCCTCACTGCTTCCTGGACCAAGGCGACTGCTGAGTGCCATCCCATCGGTACCACACTTAGGGCTGGACGAACTAGTGTTCCAGGAGGCATTCCAAAGGCAGCTGAATCCACCTTCTTGCTGTAAGCAAGGTAGGGCAACCACTTATCTGGCATGGAGAACAGGTTGAAGGCCGACTGCAAATCCTCCCTGTCCAGGTACAGGCCCTCATCAGTGCCCTCATCTTCTTCCAACAAGATTCCTGTCAGTTGTCCTATGTATGGTAATGTGTCCTGGGAACCTGCAATGGCACTCATTACAGCGTTGGTTGGGCACAGGATCGAGATGAATCGCTGGCACTTGTGCGGCTTTCCATCGATGATCTTTTCTTTGAACACTCCACCAGCCCCATTCGTGATCAGGCGGGACCAGGGAGTCATCCACTGGCTTCATCATTCCTCTCTGATGCGCTGCGTGCACTATCTTGAACCACTCACTGTCGCTCGCCCGCGCACGGGATCTAAGCCCCTGCTCCGGCATCTTATCCGGCGGCAGCAGAAGCTTCTCTGGCTCTGATAAAGCCTTCTTAGTTTCTTCTCTCAGGTATGCCTCTATTGGCTGGATGCCTGCTTGACCTGGCCGTGGCCATGCAGGCAGGACTCGTTCACAGATCAAGTCCTCCATATACTCAATCGGATTTCCGGAGTAGTCATACTTCTTTGAGCTCAAGAGCTTCTCACTTTCTCCCAAACTTTTTAGTGGTGTTCCCGAGACTATGTTGCTCGTCACCACCTTGGCCATTTCACTGACCGCTGCAATCTGCAGCTCTGAGAGCCCGTCCTTGAACGGCACACAAATTGGTTTGCTCCACCCAACACAGTAGTGAAAGTTGATGACGCATAAGATGGCCTTGATCCACATTTCATTTCCCTCCGACACACCCGGAATATCCACTGTGATATTCCACGGAGGAATAGGCAGCAAATCTCCAGATGTTCCCCGCTTCGGTGTGAGAGAGATGGGGGGTTGTGCAGCCATGCAATACGATCGAACAAAATTTAATTTCCAAGCGGGGTTGGACTCGTAAGCATCAGGGCATACAGGTGCTTTCCAAGATCCTCGAAGGTTGCATTCTGCTTGAATAGTTCTCTGACCATGAGGCTCCATTCCCGGATTGTCTCACATTCATCAACATCCAGGTTGTGTAGGTTCGGTGGGCATCCCTTTACATCGTCCATCAGGTCCTCAACCACACTCTCAGACCCTTCATCTGCATACTCCTCAACCGCAATAGCGCCCCGTTCCTTGCGAGCTAGAGGTGGCCTTTCATCACGGTCTGTCGGTGGTCCGAAGGGGAGGAACTGCGCCTCCTCCTCAACGTCCGTGTTCGCTGAGGGGGTCATCACGCCGTGGGCATGTCTCCCGCGTTCTCCGACCTTGACTTCCCTTTCTTTCCTTTTTCTTTTCCTTTTCCTTTCCCCTTCTCGTAGTAGTCGCTCATCTTTCCCTTGCTGTTGCCTTTCCATTGCTGCCCTGCTATCAGCAGTTTCATCTTTTGCTCGGTCGCCTGCTCCTTCGTGGCCATCAGGGTCTCGTCCTTTCCCACCAAGTTCACTCCCTCGGGAGGAATCAACTCCAAGTGTTGGGCCCGGCTCCATGCCTGATCCGACAGGTACAGTTCGAGAGACTTCACCCTCTGGCCCAGGATGTCCCCGGCTGACTCCGGGTTTCCGTTTGCTATCAGGTCGAGGGCTTTGCATAGTGTCCTCAACTCGCGGCTTGTTCTCAGATTCATCTTCTCGCGGTACTGTGGGATGATCACCGTGAGAAAGTACGATGTTGCCGTGGCCGGTGTCAGATTGCGCTCGGTCTTCGTGTGCATGGGCCCTCCTGCCGAGCTAGGATCTCTTGCATCCTTTGCAGCAGCCGTGCTGCCAAGCCCCCCGGATGTTGCTCCGAGTACTCCTGAAGCTGCAGCTGACGTGACTTGTTGGAGGGGCCCGCCCGAAAATCCGACCCTGAATCTTCTTCATCATCTGAACTCCTTGAACCCGATTTCTCATCCCCAAACTTGACGCGGTGCCCGACTCCAAACGGCCCGCGATCAGCCAATGGTTTCTTTTTGCTGGAGCCTGAAGTCCTCTTGGCACGCTTTCCTGACTTGAGCTTTTGCTTCTTACGAGAGCGACCTCTCTTTGGGTCAGTGGGTGCTTCATCATCTGCCTTCTCTGCCGGGAGTACACCCATGCTGCTCGACGTGTCGGCTCCCGAATCCGGCTCCTGAGGATGGCCAAACCAAAGAGGTTCGGCAGCTTTGGCCTTCACACGCTTAGCGGCCTTTGTGCGTTCGTCCTTTTTTCCTGAGATGTCACCTTCCTCACGCTTCTTTTTCTTCTTTTGATCCTTATCAAGCCGATCATCACCCGGCTCTTTGCCACTCACTGCCTTCTTCAAAGCCGCCAGTCTTCCTGGGATATCCTCGCCCGCGGGCGCTCCCTTGTCTTCCACTTTTTCTTCTGCCTCCCAGTCCAAGCGCTCAGGACCAGGCTCGCGGCCTCCACCCATGGATGCCGGGTCATAGCGATCAGTAGTCCCGGCCAGATTGGCAATCTCCTTGTCTATGTCCGTCTTCACGTCATCTTGTGAAAACCAGGTCACACGTCGGGCCAAAATGTCACCTGCTTGAATGTCACGGAACGTGTCCGAATGGAATTCCTTTTCACGGTTCCGTTTCGTTTTCTTACACTCGCCCGCAGGTGTTGCACATAAATGGACCACGAAATTCCTGCCGTAGCTTTTGCCTGGTCCCTTCGTCAGCCACCATTGAAGGTGTTCATCAGTGGCCGCAATGAGCCTTCCGGACAGCCAAATGCCCTCTTTCTTCTTCTCGATCAAGTGATCGATCTGCCATAGAGCGGTACCTTGTGGCTGTCCTTCACCATCAACAACTTCGAGCTCAACGTATCCACCTTCGGACACGGTGAGCTCCTTGAAGTAATCCTGGTTCCGTGGCAAATGGATCCACGGACCAGGCATCCTGCCCACGGGCAACCCACTTGCCCGCAGGCAACCAAAAGAGCCCTTGAGAACAAAACGGCAATGAGCATAAAAACTCGTGCCTGCACTGCGTTTAGAACACTCGTGGCAATATTGATCTATGTGTCTACAGTTTACAGTGTCTACAAATGTCTACAGTCTGTAGGTTCACTCCTTTTCTTGCCACACTTGGCAACCAGTTTGCCGCTGAAACAAGATTGATTTCAAACGGGTCTTGGGTCAACTGGCATTGGGTTGGCAGTTGCTGTGACATTTTGTTTCGTTGCTGGTTGAAATGACATTGCGCAAAAGGATAAAAAAATGAACCTGGTTTTGTGAGTAGATTGCCAGCAATGTCTTTCTCGCTCGGCTCTGCAAAGGCTGTGAATCGAGTGAGGCATCTGGCAGTCGTCAACTTTTACCAACACCCCCCCGCAAAGAACTCTGGGAACCTATATAAACTTCATACACTGAAAAAAGCGTCCTGATGGGCTGGTTTCATTTTGACAAATGCCATGCAAAAATATATGCACTAGTCCAAGGTCTTAAATGAGATCTAATCTAATCTAATGAGTCTCAAGCTCTCCAAGTCCCTGCATATCCCTGCACCACAACACCAAACACGAAACTATTGCCGTTCCGAATGCCGTCACCCTGTAGGCCACAAAACCACCGAACAAAAACCGCCACACAAGTTCAACAAACCCTGTTGTTCAGTAAGAACGATGTGTAAGAATTAACCTAAAGTCCGAAATAGTATGGTGCTTTGTTGTTTCAGACCGCAGGACAAAAGAACAAGGAGGCGAGTAGCAGTGCCGTCGCAACCCACAGCCTGCGCTTCTGACCGCCAGATAGCTTGCCACATGGATGATCTGCCATGGCCTGCATACAAAAAGGACACAAAAGGTACCAGAAACATCCAGGAACGACCTCTAGATTCCATTGAACGAGTCTGTGCAGCTAAGGGGCGTCCAAGCCCAATGCGCTCAGAATAGTTTTGATTCGTTGTTCAACGGACTCGGCGGGAATTCCACGCAATGCGCCTTAGCCGGCCAAGCACACCGCTCTTATCTCTTATCCCTATCACACTTGCCCGCCTTGACTCCTTAACCAAGGAAAGCTTGGCTCTTGGCACACTCAACTCCAACGGCGTTGCCTTTACCTACGAACAATGCTATAGATCCTCCTCTTTGTGTTTGCCTGAGCGCAAGCAAGGCAAAACCAGCTGTATTCATCAATGAACCAAGCAACTGAAAAAACAACAAGTGCATCTTCACGGTGAACTCCTCAAACATCGGGTTATCCTGGGGACAAACTGACAGTTGCTGCCGCGCAAGTTCCAGTTCAGTCTGCACATTGTAGCCGTTGATGACCAGTTCACCAGATGTGGCGGGCGTCAGGCCAACGACACAGTTGAGTGCCGTTGTTTTTTCCGGCACCATTGTGCCCAAGTAGTGCAAAGATTTCTCCCTTCTCAATCTCCAAAGTTAGATCATCCACAGCCACCTTGCCATCTGGGAATACCTTCCGCAAATGGCGGATGGAAAGAGCTGGTTGTTCAACACTCTGTGAGGGCCCGGGAGTGATCGCACTGGGAGCGCGCTTTCCGCACATATATTTGGGCATGAAACAAAAGCAAGCGGGCTTTGCTGAGCCATACTTGCCTTGCCAAATGTGGCTCAACCACCACACGAGAACCACCAGTAGCAAGGTGTCCACTACAAGGAAGAGCAAGGCATTCCCCAAGGGGAAAATCACAGCTTTGGCTTCCTCGATGCACGGGAAGTGCACAGGGTGGTGCTCAATCATGCAAAACTCCGTCATGTGCAGCGTGTCAAAGTTTGCCTGGTCCGGGCAGCTTGTGACAAAATACAAAAGTCACGACTTCAAGTTATCATAGTGACCACTACGAGGAGGAAAGTCAAAAAACACAATGTATGTATTATGTGTATGTATGTATGTATGTGTATGTATGTATGTATATATGTATGTGTGTGTGTATGTATGCATGTATGCACTGTATGTATGTGTGTATTTATGTATGTATGATAGGAATCCTGGGCACCGATTTAAAAATACCCCTATTTTTATAAAATATATCATGTCGGAACCCCCTAAATACGGTTTATAACTGTTTTCAAACTACCGCCCTTGAATACTGCTACTAAACTACCAACATTGCCGATTTTGGTCGAGTTTATTGAATTAGGTTCCAAGAGCAACCCTAACTGCCCACCTTTGTCCACCCTGCCTATCCACTATGACACGCCGCGTTTACACCAGCATGTGTTCCTTCCCCCAATGGCACGGACTCACCTTTCGAAAGCTTCAGTTGTTAGTCTAATATAGTCTAATGAAGAATCACTATTTCAAAAAAAGAGTCTTTGTAAAGGGAAAGGAAGACCCTTCGATCTGGAGGCTTTCAATTTTTCATGAATTTAAAACGGCTGTTATACAAATTTTTCCTAGGTGCCTTTTTTGTTAATCAATGATTCAAGGATCCTTCCATGGACCCTATTTTGGACAACCCCCCTATTAAAGCAAATACGCCCGAGGTTTTCTCAATCGGGGGGGGCGCGTGTTTTTAATAGGTGGAAGGGATTATGTATGTATGTATGCATGCATGTGTGTATGTATGTATGTACGTCGTACGTATGTGTGTTTTCTCCTAGCTCGCCATGGTCCTCTTCTTGGCACTGAGTCGCCCCTTCGGTGTCTGAGTGCTGAAGAGCTGTCGCGGCTTGGGCGCTGCGCCGCTTCAGAGCTGGTCATCCTCTGATGGCTTGTGTGCCTTGGCTTCTGGTGTGGTCTTGGTGAAGATTGATGCGCTGAAGGATGGCATTGCTTGGCCCAATTAGTGGCCAGTGCCTCATGGCTTGTACCTTGGAGCCAAACTTTAAAATAGTTTTAAAGTTGCGATAGTGCCACAGGCTGTATGCCACCTCGATGACGTCGAAGCCTGAAGCGCAGGTTTGGCAACTTTAGGGAAGCTTGATGCCCCTGTGCTTGGCCTTGTTGAGGCGTTGTTTCCTTATTGGGATCCTCCTGCGTCGGGCGGCTTGATGATCTATACCGAGGTCCCTATGGTCCCTCAAGACCGTGGCTGCACTGGGCTCTTCAGGGCCCAAGCGGTCAGTCAAAGCCCTGCTGGCATGCTTGTCCGTGGTAATGAAGGCAGTCTTTTTGGGGCCGACTTTGAGGTCCAAGGTGCATAGTTTCTCATGGAGCTCTCTGTAGGCCTGAGCGGCAGAGATTGCCAGCTGGATGGGGTCAGCGCCCTCACGGCCAAAGCCAATGTCATCGACCCATCCGTTGAAATGCATCTTTGGGAACTGGATGGCAAAAGGTGCCAATACTGGAGCAAGATATGCTTTGCAAGCAAGGGCGCTTGGGGACACAAGGCTGCCACTCCGTGGGAAACATGAAAGAAATGGGTCACCTCTTCTTCTGCCAGAATGGCTTTTGGCCAAGTGTAGAGCTGCATGGCTAGCTTGAGTGCTAAGGGCGGGTAGCCCAGCTTCATTGCGTCTTGCTGAAGTCGCAGCAGGTCGATGGTGTCGTAGAAGGTGGACATGTCCATCAAAACACACATTCTATATATTTATACAAAGTAGCAATAAGAAGCTACTAGTAACAAGTGCATATTGTTTCTAATGGCTTCTTGTTACTACTAGTAAGGCACTTGTTACTAGTAGCGATGCACTTGTTCCTAGTAGCTTATTGTTACTTCCATGTCGATGATTGGCCTTGGTGACCTCCTGGCGCATGAGTCGCGCCATGTCGCACCAAAGCGACATGCAGCACATTGGGTTCGGGGCGGGCTTTGTCGTCTGCCATGCTGTCTGGCAGTGTGGTCATTTGTCGAGGATGTCTTTGCATGTATGTATGCATGCATGCATGGATGTATGTATGTATGCATGCATGGATGTATGTAATGTTGGATCACGATTAGTAAAGGGGACTTCTATAATGCTAATTTTTCCACCCCTGTTTGAAAAATGGTACCTCTATAGTGCTAATTTCTTTTTTTTGGCCCTAAATTTTTAAATTGGAAACCCAATCAATGAGGGTTTGAATTCCTTCTGAACCCTGTCCACCTGCACTCCCCCCCCTTCCTTCTGAACCCAATTAAACCCTTTATAAAACATTGCTCCTAAACAAATTTTCAAGGTAGTAGACCAGGCAGGCACCTGATCCTCAATAATAAGTTTGTTTTCGGGACCTCAATTGTGAAAAGTTTTTTCCACTGGAAAAAATGCACATGGAA